CGAGAATTACCCCTTGCGATACTCCCTATCTATCAATTGTGTTAAGCTCACCGACTTCAAAAAGAGATAGAAAATGACTCGAGAATTTGGACAGGGTGCTGACGTTTGCTTCTTAGTTTCTAGTAGGTTGGTTCTATGGCAATTGTTACTCTTGGAATTTGAAATAAAATTCCACAAGAGAAACACCAAATTCAATTCCAAACAATGACTTGGGATAGAACCAATTCTCTTTTCATCGGAATGTGATCAAAACTCACTTACATCCTCCCAAATAATTGTTCGGTCAGTTCTGTAGAAGAGTCCAAAAAATATTAATTTATAATACTTTCAATTATTACAATTTCAGTTTTAACCGTTACATATCCTTGTAATTAGTATTATAATTATTACATAGGCTCCCAATGATTGTATAAATACCGATATATGCCTGAGAATAAAGTATGCATTTCAGTATGCAATTCTCTCTTCCTCTAAACTCTATTATGGTATCAGAGCCATAAGAGCTCTCACCAGCCCCTCTACCCATGGCTAACGAAGAAAATACAACCAGACAGACAGAGATCCAGGACCAAGGAGACCTCGAAAATCTGCTTGCTAAAACCTTGGCTACCCCTTCCAACAACCCCTTGACCCCTTATGTACTCATAATGCTTAACCCCGGTCAATTCCCAGAAAAATTAGATGGTTCTAATTACCTGGTTTGGCGTGATCAGGTTCTTGACCTTCTGTTTGGGTCAGACCTGAGCCATTATATCGAGGAGGATGCTACGATGCCACCATAAAGCGACGCAATCGGCTGTCTCAGATGGAACCGACAAGACAGACTACTGCGCCACGCCCTAGTCTCCTCCCTTAGCTCCTCTTGCAAACCATTAATTGGCTCGGCACGCACTTATGTTGTCGTCTGGAAGACACTTGAGCGGCTCTATGGGACTCGGTCGCCTTCCGCAATTTGAAACCTCAAAAACCAGTTCCGACACATGCAGCAGGGAGATCAACCAGTGGGGGAGTACCTTCACAAACTCCAAACCCTAGCTGACGAACTTGCGCTGGCAGGACGACCGGTTGACGATGATGATTTCCTCATTCAAGCTCTGGAAGGACTCCGACCAGAGTTCGAATCAATCGCGAACTCCATCCAGACTTCAGGCGACACTCGATTTGGAACCATCCATACGCTGCTTGTAGGATTCGAAGACAAGCTTCGACAGAAGGAGACGCTGAACTCCAATCCCGTGCTGACCGCTAATTCAGCTATCGCGGAGACGAGAGAGTCTCTTGCTTTAGCTGTTCGATGGAATGCCAATGGTCCAAGAGGTAATCAGGCCCAAAATCCTTCTATATTGGGCCAAGGACCAGCACCTCAACCTAATGTGCCCAATACTGATATGTTAAACAATACCAGGATCCATAACCAAAACCAGGGGCCCAATAATTTACAAAACCCGAATCGACGTGGAAATAATAATCCCAGAGGTAATAATATGGGAGGCAGAAACAATTTCAGGAACAATAATAATTCTAGAGGTACAATTATATGTCAAATTTGTGGCAAACCGAATCATCTCGCTCTTAACTGTTGGCACCAATTTGAACAACAAAATTATCCTCCTCAAGCCAATAATGTGGTGACCAATAGAAATGGGTGGTTGCTTGACTCTGAAGCCTCGAATCATGTCACCAATAATCTCAATAACCTGACCTTGGCTTCAGATTATACTGGCACTGACTCCCTCGTTATTGGTAACGGTAAAGGTCTTGCGATTGCACAAGTTGAAAATATGAATATTTCTCTTTCCTTACCTAATAATCTTTTTGTTCCCTAAACCCTTGTAAAGGACCGGCGAACGGGAGCAATTTTGTTACGGGGTATGAATAATGGGGATGTCTACAGTCTGCCGGATGTACCGATTCCTACGTCTCCATGTGCTAAGGATATCTCTTTATGCACTTCATGTGCAAGTAATAAAAGTCACAATTTACTACTTCATTTACTAAGGATTTAGAAAATTTGCTACATCTTCACTTTCAAGTTCTGACCCTCTTGACCTAATTTTTACAGATGTTTGGGGTCCTTCTCGCATTACTTCTGTAGACGGTTTTCGTTACTATGTTATTTTTGTTGATCACTATACCAAATACATTTGGTTTTATCTCATCAACCATAAGTCTGAAGTGATCTCATTTTTTCAACAATTTTAAAAAATTGTAGAAAACTCTTTTCAAAAAAATATTAAAATGGTTTACTCTGATGGGGGAGGTGAGTATGTCACCCAGGGAAATTCCTGAGTTCCTGTGGTATTCCCCATTTATTAACCCCTCCCTATACTCCAGAACATAACGGTTTCGCTGAACGACGACATCGTCATATTGTTGGAACAGGGATCACTTTATTTTATCATGCCTCCATGCCATTTAAATATTGGTCTCATTGTTCTAAAAATAGGCCTAGTCGGACCGATTAATCAGTCTAGTCGGCCTAGTCGGTCTTAACCGTAGAGGCCTAATCGGCCTAGTCGACAAAAAAATTGGCCTAGTCGGCCGCCTAGACGTTAAGCGCCCCTCAACCGCCCGACTAGCGCCTAGCGAGTTTTAGAACAATGATTGGTCTTATGCTTTTGAAACAGCAGTGTATCTCATTAATAGACAACTTGCAACGTCTCTTAATTTCTGCACTCCATTTGAAAAGCTTTTTCAAAAACCACCTAATTACACAAAACTTGCTATTTTTGGGTGTCAATGCTTTCCGTGATTGCGTCCTTACACAACCCACAAATTAGAACCTCGATCCAAGCCATGTATTTTTCTAGGGTATTGTGATCAGCAGAGTGCATATCAATATCTTGACCCAGCTACCCATCGTATTTTTATTAGTAGGCATGTCATATTCAATGAAACTGTTTTTCCCTTCTCTTAGACCGTAACACGTGTTACTAATCTCTCCTCGAAGATTGATAACTAGCTTCAATCGCCTATTTCTCATCTTCCCCATTCAGGTACACCAACGGCAAAGACATCTCCTATTTCTCATACTCCCACTCAACAAAGCACTCCCGGTAGTTCAATCTCTACCTCTAATATGATGCCCCCTACACCCCCACCTCCACACAATCCACCTGCTAATCTGCTATCATCACCTATCAACGTCAGTCCAAGCAAAAACCACCTACCCCATTGTTTCCTCAAACTTCACTCAATGAACCACACACTGTCACCCCGACCAATTCCCCTCCTAAACGTACTCATCCCATGAGTCTTCGTCCTCGTAAATAAGCTAATCTCGTCACTCAATCCACCTTACCTCATCATATTATTCCTACTTGTGCTTCTCAGGCTTTACAGGTACCAGAATGGACGGATGCTATGTCAGCATAATTTGAAGCCTTGGTTAAACAGGGAACTTGAGATCTTGTTCCAGCTTGTCCTGGTCAAAATGTTGTTGGTTGCAAATGGGTTTATACAGTGAAGTACAAGCCGGATGGTTCCTTGGATCGTTTCAAAGCTCGGTTGGTTGCTAAGGGCTTTCATCAGCGCCCAGGAGTTGATTATTCTGAAACCTTTACCCCAGTAATCAATCTGGTCACCACCCGAGTTGTCCTGACTATTGCTCTTTCTCATGGTTGGCAGATCCATCAGCTTGGTGTTAATAATGTCTTTTTGCATTGAACTCTTCACGAGGAAGTATACATGAAACAACCTCCTGGTTTCAATGATGGTTCCAGGTCTATTTGCCGTCTTCATAAATCTATCTATGGTCTCAAACAAGCACCTCGGGTGTGGTATCAATCTCTAAGTGGGTTTCTTCTTTCCCCTGGATTTCATCAATCTATGTCGGATGCGAATCTTTTCATACTCTCTTCACATCAATCTTTATATCTATGTGTTGATGTATGTGGATGATATTATTGTTACTGGTTCCACTCCTACTTTGGTTCGTTGGACTATTGATTCCTTAGCGCAAAAATTCTCTATTAAGGATTTGGGATCCTTACATTATTTTCTAAGCCTGCAGGTCACTCCGACGCAGGATGGGCTCTTTCTTGACCAACACAAATACATTATCGATTTATTACATATGTTGAAAATGGACGAGGCAAAACCGGTATCCAAACCCTGTTTGATAGTTCGGGGTCCTGAGATGTGAATCTCTATCGACATGTCATTGGATCACTTCAATATTTGAGTCCGTCAACAAACTTGCTCAATTTATGCATAAACCGACGGTTACTCATTAGCAACATATCAAACGCCTATTACGGTAACTTCAAGGCACTAGTTCTTATGGTCTCTATCTTCGCTACAATTCATGTCTTTCTCGACGTGCGTATGCTGATGCATGCTGGGCAGGGAATCCCGATGATCACTCATCAACTAACGCATATGCAATTTTTCTTGGTGAATCACTTGTTTCTTGAAAGTCCATTAAACAACGAACCATTGCCAAATCATCTACAGAAGCAGAGTATCAGGCTCTCTACCGCTGCATCAAAATTTCTTCGGATTGAGTCTCTTCTTCATGAACTCCGACATCCGCCTCCCTCTTCCCTGCTCCTACTTTGTGATAACAAAGGCGCTACAACTTCTTCAGCAAATCCGATTTTCCATTCCAAGATGAAACATGTTGCTATTGATTTTCATTTTATTCGACAACGTGTGCAACGTGGGCTTCTTCGTGCTCTTCACATCTCTTCTCATTATCAGTTAGTTGATGCTCTTACCAAACCACTCTCAAGGCAAAGGTTTACTCTTCTAAGAGACAAGCTCAAGATTCTTGGGAGTGACAAAATACGTAGCTTGCGAGGCGTGTAGAAGAATCCAGAAAATATTAATTTATAATATTTTCAATTATTACAATTACAATTTTAACCTTTACATATCCTTGTATTTAGTATTATAATTACTCTCTCCGTCCCGCTAGAAGGTTCCCACTTTGGTTCTTACTTGCAGCATAAATAATTGTATGACGCAAAACAGCAACTCAGATAATTGTATGACAACATAAATAATTGTATGACATTTAATGTTGTGACTACGACCAAAAGTCTCGACTCAAAACTGAAGAAGCGCATTCATTATATCTTTATGACAAAGGTGTTATGTGCTTGTTTGGTGACTATATTTTGTTAGTGGCTAATTGCGAAGCAAATTCCTGATGTGCGGTCTCTCTAAGCCTTGTTGCTTATTTAGCTTTAACTGCGAGTAAAAATTGATTATCACAGCTGAAGTTTTTTTGGGACTCACTACAGAATTCAAGTTGCACAAAACAAAACCCAGAAGTAAAGACCGGAAAAAGGGAGGAAATGTCAAATACAGATGAAGTACAACAGGTGAGTAGGGTGGGAACCATGAAGGATGCACCAATGATAGCAAAACATCCACTACAGTCTCTACTTCCAAAGCTTAATGATCTTGTCATGGCTAGCAGAAGCCACCAAACCTGCAGCGGTTGATACAGCCAATGAAGCGATTAATCCTTCATGCGCAGAAAGTGTCAATGTTTTGTTCTCTGTCATGTTCCATAGCTCCAAAGACTGCAAGAAATGCCACAATGTTTTGGATACATAGTATAGAATCCCCTCCCACCCCCACCCCATGAATTCACCTTGTATTCATCGGAAACAAGTAGAGGGGACACTCTATCACCTATGTGGGATACCTTATCCAGACTAGGCTTAATTTGTTACCAATGAATGTATATGATAGCTTCCCTCTGTCCCACATACATGATACAGCCCATTACTCCACTCTGGTCCGTACAAAAAAAGTAGCTCATTTTCTTTATGGTTGTACAAACTTAGTTTTCCACTTCTAGGTTTTCCTTAATCACATATTAAAAACCATCAAATTAAATACTACCTCTGTCCCGAGAGACTTTGCCAAGTGTAAAGTAGGTGAGAAATAAGAACAGTAAAAACTATGTGGTTGCAATTTGTGAAGAGGAGAGAGAAATGTGCAGAACCAAAAATTAGTTGCTTTAATAGGAAAGTGGCAAAGTATTTTGGGACAATCTAAAAGAGAAAATTGGCAAAGTCCAATGGGATGGAGGGAGTACTACTGTCACATGGACAAAGACAGTTATTGCCTCAATTACAAATGGGAATTATAGAGGCATGTATATAATTTGTCCAAACTAACTCAACTTTCTTTGTGGGGTGGATTGAGTAATACTTTTCCCGTTTAAGAAAAGTAAGTTTCCTTCAAGAAAATGATATCCTTTTTGGGAGAATGCAAAGAAATAACAAAAATATATTCCCTTTAGGTAATACCCCCCCCCCCCCCCCCCCCCAACACTTGAAATTCCATACATATTTTCCAGAAGGTGATTGTAGTTAAACAAATGAAAATAACACTTGCCTGGTAACAGCCAATAACTAACAATGACGAGTAGGAAGGATGGAAAACACAAGAATGAAACTTGTTGCCATTTGAACTGAGTTCATGCACACAATTTCCTTCACTTCCTGAACCGAGCGTCCACACTCTCACAGAGTCCTCACTAACTGATGCCAGGAGATCCCCCGATGGGTCCCAGCAGACAGAGTGAATAGGTTTTGTGTGTCCCTGCCCCCACGGGAAGAAATGATTCATGATGAATAGAATGATGAGTCATCAACATAATAACATGTCGTTAATAATAGCAAGGATAGCTCAAACTTATGTCCTAAACATCTTCTAGAAACAAAGCCCCCCCCCCCCTATTTTTGAAAGAGAGAATTTTGAGAAGTGATGCTCTCTGCCTCTCTCCATCCAAAAAAAATAGATTGTTTCAAACACATCCTTGTGTATAAAAAAGTTACATGACCAACAAATCTCTTTTTGTAGTTTGCCTAAAAAGAGTCACAAACAAGTTGCATACAATAAATTGTACCTTACCCAAAATCAATAGTTGTACACTTGTACCTTAATCAAACAAAGAGAGCATTTGGGATGATTATTTTCAAGGAATACGTGCTTTTTGGAGTAAAATTTGCTTCAAAAACAAGCATTTGATAAGGAATATGCGGAATATGTTATCCATATAATGAGGTAAGAAAAATCATCATGTTAATCATGACAAGAGAATATTAATTTTCCCAATAACTGATAGGAAGCTAATGCATAACACTAGTACTTTGTCTAGTGACCTTGGCATGGCCGAGACAAATATTCTTGTTAATTCTAATAATGAGCTCACCTTTAATGTCTGTCTGCACGTTTGTGTTTCCACATCAAGAATTGACACAACATTCTCAGCTGCCGCAGCAAGATATCGTCCAAGACGAGGCTGAAATCTCACCTGTGCAGTCCCACCCTATTCCGCATAATAATGAAATCAATAGTCAAGATGTCAAACATCTTGTCCCACTTAATGCCATATTTTGTCATACTTATGCTGCTCTGAATCATCCATATTTTGCCAATTGAATATCAACCACTTAATTCTATGTTTTATTAATTCATGTGGCACTTCCCTTGTCCAATATTTTGTGGGACAGAGATAGTAATGACTAAAAAGTAAAAACAGTTCTTCATTTTGGTCCCGAGACTATTATTAGGTCATTACTAATTTTGATTTTTGGTAGTTGGCTTATCTTTTATCGATTATCTTCTTTATCTTTTTATGTTCTTATGTTATTTTTATCTTCTAGCTTTTTTATGCTCTCTTATCTTTCTATTTTTTATCTTTCTTATATTTTTATGTTATTGTTATCTTATATGTATTTATCTTTATTTTATCTGTTTTATCTTACTTGCCCCCCCCCCTCCCCCGTCTGTCTCTCTGTTTGGCATCGATATCATAGATCGATTCATGTTAGCCGACCCCAAATTCTTTTGACACAACATTCTCAGCCGCCGCAGCAAGATATTGTCCAAGACGAAGCTGAAATCTCACCTGTGCACCCACCCTATTCCGCATAATAATGAAAGCAATCAATAGTCAAGATGTCAAACATCTTGTCCCACTTAATGTCATGTTTTGTCATATTTATGCTGCTCTGAATCATCCATATTTTGCCAATTGAATATCAACCACTGAATTCTATGTTTTATTAATTCGTGTGCCACTTCCCTTGTCCAATATTTTGTGGGACAGAGGTAGAAATGACTAAAAAGTAAAAACAGTTCTTCATTTTGGTCCCGAGACTATTATTAGGTCATTACTAATTTTGATTTTTGGCAGTTGGCTTATCTTTTATCGTTTATCTTCTTTATCTTTTTATGTTCTTATGTTATTTTTATCTTCTAGCTTTTTTATGCTCTCTTATCTATCTTTTATCTTTCTTATATTCTTATGTTATTGTTATCTTATATGTATTTATCTTTATTTTATCTATTTTATCTTACTTGCCCCCCCTCCCCCGTCTGTCTCTCTGTTTGGCATTGATATCATAGATCGATTCATGTTAGCCGACCCCAAATTCTTTTGGGATTAAGGCTTGGATGTTGTTGTTTGTTGTTGTGGCAGTTGGCTTACATTTTATTGAACTTTTCATGGACGACTATGCATTCGTTGCTACTTTGGTCATTCTGATAACTTATTTGTCCAATAATGAACACTCTGGTTGATCTTTTCCAGAGTACGTGATGAAAACAAAGGACCAAAAGTGGCAAGAAACCATAGTCGTGTCCCAAAAATGGAAAAAATGAAAGTCATTGACATAAACTTGGAATGACTAATAGTGGTGGGGCGAAAAGTGATTTTTTTCAATAATTATAACATGATATCAAAACATAGTATTGTGCAAACCTTGAATGCCCGCGTGCAGCTACCATTGGTGATGCTCCAGTACCTAATCTCACCATCCCCGTCACAGGAACAGATCAGATCTTCTTTATTGGGATGAAAATCAAGTGACATTACCCCAGCTGAATGCCCCGTGAAGTTCCTGAGTGAGTATCCAGGCTACCAAAAAATAATCACAATCAGAACAGTCAGAGCAGAAAGAAACATAGCCAAGATTCTTCTCACAAAGCCCACTTCCCTTTTGATCTAACCATCAAGCTATAATAACAGTGATCAGGAAATTTCTATGTACGTATACATACACACACACATACATATTGGTGGATCATTGACCTAGGGGTAGCCGGAATCCGAGAGTAGATATTTTAGTAGAGTAACAGCAAGAGAGTAGAGTAGAGAAATTCATCCCTTTCCACAAGCTGGAAGGTGATATTTATACTAAAAAGGCAATGCTTGGTGCCCAAGTAAAAAAGATACTAATCTAATGGGGAGAGGACGCGTGTCCAATCCGTTCTAACGAACTAACAGACTAAATCAATAGGGTGATGTCACGTGTAAAGGTCATTGGAGAGATAACTGGGACAACTGGCTGATTAGAACTGCCTCTAACAAACTGCTACCCGAATGTGCGTGTGGTTACACGTGTATAGTCCGGGATATTCTTTCTGCCTGCTGCTAGGAGTGACGTGGCCTCCTTTAAAAGCAATTATGATGTGGCAACAGTCTTGTGTGATATCTGTTCCCGCATATTTGTCTAAGTCCATGATGCTTCAGTCAGACCTTCTCCTCCAATTGCTTATTTGCTTTACACAAAGGTGTACGCCGATGTACTAAAACAACTTTATATCCTCTTGCTAATTTTGTTACCTTTGATAACTTCTCTCCTTCTCATGCCTTGTTTTGTCAAAAACTCGATGAAATTCTCACACCCAACTCTGTTTTTGAAGCATTACGAAGAAAAGAACGAAGGGATGCTATGTATGAGGAAATTAGAGTTCTTGAAAAGAACAATACCTTGGATATCGTGACTAAACCTCCGGGCAAACATGTTGTTCGTTACATGTGGATCTTTATTGTCAAATACAATGCTGATGGATCTCTTGAGTAGTACAAATCTCTCCTTGTGGCTAAAGGATATACTCAGACATATGAGATTGACTATCAATAGACCTTTGCTCCTATAACCAAGTTGAATATTGTTTGTATCCTATTATCATTGGCATCACACTTTGATTGGCCTTTATTGCAATTTGATGTGAAGAATGCTTTCCTACATGGTGACTTGCAAGATGAGATTTACATCCACATTTCCAAGGCTTCAATAAAACGTCAACAAACACCTCTACACATGTATGTAGACTAAAAAAAGCCATCTATGGCCTCAAGCAATCCCCTCATGCTTGGTTTGACCGCTTCACCCAAGTTGTCAGGCTGCTGGTTATAGTCAAAGTCAAGGTGACCATACTCTTTTTTACAAACACTCTTGCACAGGTGGAGTCACTATTCTTTAGTACATGTGGATGACATAATTCTGAATAGTAATGATCTAGTAATGATCTAGTTGAGAAACAACATCTTGAGAAGTAGCTAAAGTCCTAATTTGAGATGAAGTCTTTTAGCTCTCCAAAACACTTTCTTAGAATTGAAATTGCCCGCTCATCTGAAGGTATCTTTATCAGTCAACAAAAGTACGTTACAGATTTGCTGAGTGAAACTGGTAAGAGTGCTTGTTGATCAGTTACTACACCTATTAATCCCAAACATTAGCTTGGTCTTGCTACTGATGAGCCCAAGGTTGGTTCAACAATGTATCAGCATCTATGCGGCAAACTTATCTCTCTCTCATGCCAGACCTGACATTACTTGTGCAGTTAATATCCTAACTCTGTTCATGAATGACCGCAAGAAATCACATCTAGATATTAAAATGTTTTTTTTAGTTTTTATATGTAACGCTAACTTCAACTTTGATATTAATATTATTTAGCATTCTATTTAAATTAATACTAAATATTAGTATTAATGTTAATATTTGAATAGTTTGTTTATTTTATTTTTAATGTGTTTATATGTGTATACACTTTTTAACACCTCAACCATATGCCTCATTGCATAATGAGGCTTATGCAATACGCAATTCTAAAAAATTGCCACGGCTACGCAATTATGAACATTGTTTGCGATTACTATGTTTTGTAATCAAACAAAAATATTTTTTGGTAAAAAAAACAGAATCAAAATAAATCGTACCAACTGAACCGTGTTTCAAAGTTTGAAAAATAAAACCAAAGCAAACTTTTACTTTAGTTTGGCATTTGGTTTTGAGTCAAGACTGAACCTATTGAACGTATTAGAAATGTAACAAGTATAGGAAGAGAGTGAAATAGAATTCTTAATGATCCAGGAGAACTGTATAAGTATTTATAGAGAACAAAACTCTAACTAACTAATCACCAGTCTCGAACTAATATAACAAACTTAACAATAATCTGCCACATAGACTAAGCTTTTTACAATTAGAGAACTTGTACAGTATTCGTAACATTCCCCCCTCAAAGTTAGGGTGATTGAGTTGGAAATTCAATCACACTAAGTTTGGTTCTCAGATCAAGAAAAGAGCAGGCTGATAAAGGATTAGTCAGGACATCAGCAAGTTGATGAAGAGCTGGAATATGGTAGACTGCAAGCTGCTTAGATTGAACTTTCTCCTTGACAAAGAAGAGGTCAATCTCCGTGTGTTTAATCTGAGAGTGAAGCACAGGATTATGAGTTAGCTGAACTGTGTTTAAGTTGTCACAATACACTCTGGGAGTATGAAAAGGAACTTGATGTTCCTTCAGCACGAACTGGACCCATAACGGTTCTGTTGCTGTGCCTGCAAGGCTTCTATACTCGGCCTCTCCTGATGATCTGGCCACACGCAATTGTTTCTTGGACCACCAAGAGATGATGTTAGGGCCAAGAAAAATACAAGATCCAGAGGTAGATCTTCCGTCAGTTGGATCAGAAGCCCAATCAGCATCACAAAAGGCTGATATAGGCAGAGCTGTGGTGGATAGAGACAGGCTTAATGAGAATGCCATGTGTAGTTAAAGTAGCATATTGTAGCATGAATTGACACACCTTGTTTACAACATAACTAATTCCAGGTCTAGTTAAAGTAGCATATTGTAGAATTCCAACTATGGATAGAGACAGGCTTAATGAGAATGCCATGTGTAGTAGTGCCAGAGAGATATCTTAGGATGTGTTTCATTGCTTTCCAGTGGACTTGTAAAGGTGTGGCCATGAATTGATACACCTTGTTTACAACATAACTAATTTCAGGTCTTGTTAAAGTAGCATATTGTAGAATTCCAATAACGGACCTGTAGGCAGAAGGATCTGGTAATGGTTCATTGCCTTGATGAGTAAGCTTGCAGTTACTGAGCATAGGTGTTTTGACTCCTTTTGAGTCTATCATTCCAACTTGATGAAATAAATCTCTTACATACTTTGCTTGAGACAAATGAAAACTGCCATCAGAGAGCTTCCTAACCTCAATTCCCAGGAAGAAATCAATGTCTTCCAAGTGTTTAAGAGAAAATGACGAATGCAGTTTATGAATGAGTTGTTGAATGGCTGCAGAGTTATTTCCAATAACTAAAATGCCATCAACTTATATGAGAATGTAAACTTGGATTCCAGGTGAAACAAAAATCAGTAAAGAAGGATCACATTTACTCTGTTTGGAACCAGCATTGTACAAAACCGAGGTCAATTTTTGAAACCAAGCTCTTGGAGCTTGCTTAAGTCCATATAGGGATTTATGAAGTTTACAGACCAGGGAGGTGCCTTTGACCTGAAAAACTGGAGGTTGCACCATGCCACCATGTATACCTCTTCCTCTAGTTCCCCATTTAAGAAAGCATTGTTGACATCAAGTTGTTGAATGGACCATTTGTGTGAAACTGCAAGAGTGAGTAGGACCCTAATGGTTATAGGTTTGACAACTGGTGAAAATGTTTCTCCAAAGTCAAATCCAAATCTCTGGTGAAATCCTTTTGCAACTAATCTGGCTTTAAACTTGTTTAGAGAACCATCTGAGTTTTCCTTGATTCTGAACACCCACTTGCAACCTAGTGCCTGCTTATCTGATGGTAAACGAACTAAAGATCAGGTGTTATTGTTTATTAAAGCATCATATTCTGACTTCATGGCTGCAAACAAATCAGGAGAAGAAAGAGCTTGCTTAACTGATTTAGGCTCAGTATGGGCTAATAGCAAGGTTGGATGATGTCTAGGTTTGACAATTCCAGATTTTTCTCTGGCGGTCATGGAATTAGTGTTAGTTACAGGAGTGGGTGATGGTGAAGATGTTAAGAAATGTGATGTTGTAGGGGAAGAGGATAGATTATGTGGAGTTGATTGGTCAAAATGAGCAAAGGAAGGAGTGGAAGAGGTAGAGGGACTCTGATTCATTTGGTTGTGAAGTATGTATTTGTGATGAGGAAGAAGTATGAGAGGTGGATGATAGATGTGGTGACAGGACAGTGATAGGAGCAGAAGTCAGAGATGGATTTGGGTTAGAATTGGAGGTGGTGGGTGGAAATAGAGTAGAGTATGGAAATTTGGACTCATGAAAGATAACATCTATGGAGATGTAAACATTTCCAGATTGGGAGAGACTATTTATAACCTTTGTGCTGAGAGGATAAGCCTAGAAAAACACACACTTCAGAGTGAAATTCCTTTTTGTGTCTGTTATAAGGTCTAATAAATGGATAACAAGAATAACCAAAGACCTTAAGAAAGAAATAATCAGGTATGAACCCATAGAGTTTGAAATAGGGACTGAAGTTGGCAATAGATTTAGATGGAGTTCTATTTATGAGATGAACTGAGGTGGCAAAGGCAGTGTTTCAAAACTTAAAGGGTAAACAGGAATGAGCAAGGAGAGAGACCTTTTTCAACAATAGTGTGATGCTTCCTTTCCACCACACCATTGTGATGGTGTGTGTAAGGACAAATGAGTCTCTGTGTGATACCTTTTTCTGTTAGAAATTGATTGAAAGACCTGAACTCTCCACCCCAATTAGATTGGATGGATTTAATGGACACTGAGAATTGGTTAAGCACATAGTGATAGAAATTTTGACATGCCATGAGTGCATCAGACTTCTTTTTGAGAAAATAGATCCAAGTATACCTTATAAATGCATCTATGAATGAAATGTAATAGGAATAACTATCAAAGGACAAGATAGGAGCTGGACCCCAAAGATCAGTAAATATTAGTTCAAAAGGTTTATGAAATTGAGTGGTAGAAGTGTGAGATGGTAGCCTGTGTGCTTTCCCAAGACAATAAGCATGACAAAACTCAACATTATTTTTATTTATGGAAGGAACATTACAATGTTTGAGTACAGATTTTAGGGCGTCAGGATGAGGATGTCCTAGTCAACTAAAGGATTACAAGGCTGAGAATTATTACAGGCAGATGTATAAGAAGACATTTGCAAACTTAGAGACAGAACTGGACTGATGAGGACCAAGAGCTGGAAATGTTTTGAACTTGTAAAGACCATCTTCACCAAGAGTGCCATGTAATAGAACCTTCTTAGAAACCTGTGATTTTACAAAGCACTCATGAGGATAAAATTCAAAGAAAACATTGTTATCTTTTTTGCAAATTGGGTAACACTCAAAAGGTTTTTGGTGATGGAAGGAACATGAAGAATATTATTTAAGGATAGGAATTGAAAGGATTGAAAAGGTGAAGAGAAGGAAGAGTAACCAATAGACTTTATATCTAAACCTTGACCATTGCCCATAAAAAATTTCTCAGTTGTAGCAAAGGGCTCACTGTGCTGGAGATTTGGAGGGTCTGCAGTCACATGATGTGTTGGTCCTGAGTCTGGGAACCAGTATTGAGATGGTGGAGCTGATCCAAGGATACAAGAATGAGCAGTTGCTACAGCTGCAGTAGGTGAACAGTTTGGAGGTTGCCGACTCTAAATAAAAGCCTCTGGAGAAGAATTATTAAACCTGGAGTGAGGTGAGTAAGGAGGTTGGTGATTCCATTGATTTGGAGAATGTGAGTAGGTTGTCTGTTGAGAAGAGTGAACAAATGGTTGATTCATGTAATTGGTATAGTAGGGGAGGATGTTGATTGTTGATTCCAGGGATTTGAAGTAGCAGAATTGGAATGAGTGTAGGCTGGAGTGGGAGCAGCATAGGCTGGATTATATCGATGATAGCAATTTAAAGCATCATGACCAGATTTTCCACATACTTGGCAGATTATAGAGTTCCGACCTCCAAAACGGCCACCACAACCTCTGGTGAAGCCTTCACGACCACGTCCCCTGTAGGGAGGGTTAGCATTAGGGTTATGAAACTGAGCAACATTTGCTGAAGAAGTTTCTGAAACTGTTGGATGAACATATTCATTGTTTGAAGTCGGAACTTCCGTACGAGCCACATTAGCAGAGAACAACGTTTGTTAGAAGATTCACGTAGTTTCTTTTGTCATGTCTCTTTCGCTAGCAGTAGAGATTCAAGTTCAATAATGGTTACCGGATCCAAGATGCTTTGAGAAGATACAGAAGAAACAAGCGACTCATACTCCTCTCGAAGTCCTTCGAGGATGACGTTGATATGATCCTTGGTTGATATAGGTTCACCTATAGCCACAAGACTACCAACGATGGTCTGGATATGAAGGAGATGCTCTGAGATTGATCGATCGCCTTTTCCAGTAAAGTAGAGTTCAGATTTGAACTTGCGGATTTCCCTCCATAGTTGGTGCGAGTGTTGGCAATGAATAACTCGAACATGAAGAGACTCAGAGAGGGATGCTAGAAGCCATGAAAATAGCATTTGATCCTGTTGCTCCCAACTAGCGTATGCATCGTTCTCGATTTCAGTTCCTTCATCTTCACCAGCTACGAACTTATCAGGAATTTCAGGTTTCTCAACAAACTTGAGAAGTTTGTGAGCACGAACCAAAGATTCAACATGATGCTTCCACAGGAGAAAATTATTGGAATCAAGCTTGATAGGAAGAGGATGATTGGATGTTGACGGAAACGAGATGTTTCCAGGAGCTGGAGAAGGAACGGAAGTCGAACATGAGTTCATCATGGGAGAAGCAAGCTAGAGCTTTGATACCATATTAGATATGTAACAGGTATAGGAAGAGAGTGAAATAGAATTCTTATTGATCCAGGAGAACTGTACAAGTATTTATAGAGAACAAGACTCTAACTAACTAATCGCCCGTCTTGAACTAATATAACAGACTTAACAATAATCTCCCACATAGACTAAGCTTATTACAATTAGAGACCTTGTACAGCATTGCTAACAGAACTGAACTCGCCATCCCCCTAAGGTTCGGTACCACTCAATTCTAGCCTATTATTTTGTTATTTTGTTCTTCCTCTCTCCAAATCTCTTTTCACAAGATCTAGAACGAGATCTCAAGAATAATTCAAAAAGTGTGGGCGTATGAGCTTTAGTAGGGTCATCCTTTGAAAGTTATCTTATAGTTTGCAAATATCCACATATGTATTCATACAACACTATGCATATTGTTGTATTTATGTCCAAAATTTAAACGTTTTCTACCTGCATCTATTATCATACAATAAAAGCATTTGTAACTGGCAGTTTGGGATTGCATGTTGCAATTCACATAGGGAGTGGTCACAATTACTACCATAGTGCACTTAAAGGAAAAGTTAATGACCCAGTAAGACACAAAATGCGATATATATTATATACTAAAAAATTAGTCCATTATTATTGAGAAATGCTCAATCATCTTGATAATATATTTTTCCCATTTTGGGTTAGCTACAACTCTTTCAAGGGTTTGGATTTTGTAGTGATAGAAAATTCATGTCATCAATTGGGTATCCTGATATCATCTTATACTCCGTAGTACGTATCAATCGCACACCATGCAACCCAGGCTAATATATGCACATAAAGAAGGATTAGATATATGTTTTTACTTGCAAATAATGTTTTTATATTCATCCGTGTACTTTATGATAATATTTTTGTCTGGCTCTGTCAACTTCTATTTAGAAAAAACTAATGTGGCTATAACTCACAGGGACAACAACAACAACATTACCCCAGTGCCGCAAAGGCCCCCACCTATGGTCGGGTAAGGGGGTCGGATGTACGCAGCCTTATCCTTGTACTATAGCACTAATAACTCACAGGGACAAATAGTAAAAAAATTAATGTCACTAAATTTGCAAGGACGAAAAACATATTCAAAGGTACAAATAGAAGTATGAGCCTGTGGCAGAAATACAAAAATGTTGTGTGCGTACATTATCAGCACCCCAAACTCTAACGGTCTTGTCAAAAGACGAAGTTGCAAGGCGGGCCATGCTAGGACTGAAGCGAACATCAGTTATTGGTGACGAGTGCTCTTCAAGTGTAGTTTTTGGCTTTAAGGTATCGGTATGCCACAAAACAGCCTGCATTTGCATGACCAAAGAATTAGCATGAGCAGATGATAATTTTCAATTCACCTGGAAAGGAAGAGAATTGGCTACACCTTTTTATCATGGCCACCGCTGACTAGTAGTTTTCCATCTGATGAAAAGTGGCAGCAGACAACTTTGCTCGCACTTGCACGAACAGAGTTTACTTCCGTAAATGTGAACCCTAGCATTACATTATATTTACATCAGACTCTTTGGAATGCATTACATGGATGACTTACAAGAAATAAGTTTACAGTAACCTAAAACAAAAAATGTTATATATGTAGGGACAAAAAAATTATTGAAGTCATGAAAGAAACCAGTAAGTCATGGGGAAAGATGAATTTGCCTTAAATGAGAGTAAACAGTGCGAAATTCCAAAATAGGAGCGCCGTGTTTTTTATGGTATTTACTGTCATGCTTGGAAAGTACGGCCAATTATGGCATTAATACTGCCTCGTAAAGCCATAACATGGCAGTAAAATTTCAGGATGAGAGTAAGTTACTCCTATTTAGGGGAAAAATATAATACTCACGTTTTGGAATTTCACATTGTTTTACTTCAACTTCAGAAAATTTCCCCTAGGAAAATTACTCGAAATAGAATAATCACCTTTACTAACATCCATACCACGACCAACTGCATCTCTCGGGTCTGCTTCATCCGGAGATAAAAATGATTCAACATTATCATCAAGGGAACCGTCATCCACAAAACGATCCATGTCGGCCTGCACAATGTCTTTCGCATCCCACTGCCAACATAAAATACAAACAAGGGTTAAGGATATGTTCTGAATGTTGAGAGATGTAGAAAAAGGAGAAAATATAAGAAGATTTTTCTTTATCTTTAGCTTTTTCCATGTAAAATACAAGTGAAACTCAAATTAATTTAGGATATGTTTGTGATAGGAATTTTAAAATTACTTATTCTACAAAGAAGAAACAGGGAAACGTGGCAGCATAGTTTTATGGCTAGTGGTTACTAGTTTTATGCTTTTATTTATTTTATTCTTATCTATTAGGCTGTTATCCTTCAGTTGAGAATTAAGTGGATCTTCCCACTACTACGTAGGAGTTAATTAGTAGTGCTCAACTATTTCCCTATTTTTCCTCCCTGTAATATCTTTAAATAGGCTCCTTGCCTCATGAATAAATCATCGACATTCCAAATACCATATTATTCTCTGGAGATTCTCCTTTGGTCTTTCTTTAAGTAAGTGTGAGATTCTTGCCTTACGGATAGAAGATTTGTCACTCTTAATTTTCCTTTTTCTTTACTTAATTTCTGGGTTCTATCAATTTGGCATCAAAGCCATGGTTGAAACCAGATCTTCACGCAATCCCCCTCCACACGAGAACCCATTTTCTGGTGAAAATGACCCTCTGGTCACCATAGCCGAGCGCCTTCGGAATCTCGGGATTCTTGCTGATAGAGTCGCCAGTCTGGAAGCCAAGTCAGATCAGAATCACCTGCGGGGAAAGAGCAGGTCTCACTAGGAGGCTGACAGTGATGATGACCCAGAATCAGCGGGTCGAAGGTTTGTACCACATACCAAGATCAAATTCCCTAAATTCAGTGGGGGTGACCCCAGGGTATGGATCCTAAAAGCAGAAGAATACTTCAGATATTATGAAACCCCTGAAGAGATGAAGGTGGAGGTTGCTGCAATGTACCTGGAGGGTGATGCGCTTGACCTATTCTCTTAGGTCAACGGAGAAAGGTCAATATTATACTGGGACGAACTGGTCAAGGCAGTGCAGGAAAGTTACAGCCCTTCAGAATATCAAAATCCAGATGGATTTTTATGTAGCATTCAACAATCCGGGTCTGTGGCAGAATATCGAACGGAATTCATACATTGTTCAGCGCATGTGAAGAACTGGCCAGAACATTGTCTCCTAGTCCTAGGCATGTTCATAAACGGACTGAAAGAGGAGCTCAAAGCTGACATCCGGATCCATCGTCCTCCCACCGTGTTTAGGGCCACCACTTCGCACTAGAGTATGAGAAGAAATTATCTCATACTGCTAGGCCCAAGCCCAA